TTTTTTTTTTTTTTTTTTTTTTACATCTTGTTTAATTTTATAAATTTATAAAAATGACTTTTTATTGATAAGTTGCATTTGTTAATATTTAAAATATTTATAAATTTCAAATTTTTAAATCGAATTCTTCAAAAAAAAATTAAGTTTAAACTGTGCTAGAACAAAGTCTTTTAAGTGTTAATTTATTATTAAAGGGTATAAATTAAATTGCAATTAATGTGTACAAAATTTCATTTTTTTTTTTCAATCAAATGGCGTATTAGGTATATCATCCTCATTTTAGATGATATATGACTCAACGGGTAGTTTGTATACGATACTTAAAACTAGAAATATCAAAAGTTAACGTGTTTTTCAGGTGATGTCTATAATATTGTCATAATTCTAAAGGGTGTCTTTAATATTGTTCAATTTTTTAGTCTTATTGGAAGTAATCGACACACAAAATTCTAGTTTTCCAGTGATTCTTATTAGAAGACATGTCCTAAGCATAAGCTTGATCATCTTTGTGACTCAGTTGAGTCTCTAGTCGTTGTAAGCTAGCTTAGTTGTTCCAAAATGCCACATTATTCTTTGGATATGAAACATGCTTCATCGGTACGAGTTATTGGACTTATCTCAGTTTTCTTGTTAAGTAGCACGTGACATTAGTTGTTATCACGTGTTGAGTTGGCGTTTTACATATGTAAATTCATCTTCAACCTTGTAGCTTGGAAGGCATCGAGCTCAACTAATTTTTCTTTTGATACAGAGGGAAGACTCAACTTAAAAATTGTCATTATTGTTTATCATAGAGGATGAGACCATGTTTGATCCATTACTGACCAGAGATGACCCCCAACTTTCATATGTATCATAAGTGACAATTCTTAGAGCATGTTAGAGTCCCAAACTTCAAGGGATCACAAGCTTATGCCAATGTTGTGTTGGTACATACTCTCTTGAATTACGTAGTTGACATAGTTTTGCCACAAGCTCAATCGTCTCTTAACACACAAGGTCGATCTACTCCTTGACTTGGTATGGTTGCCAAGTGTTCGCTATGAAAGTGCAAATCGCAAGTACACAAGTCACGTTCAAGTAATAAAGTTGAATTTTTGAGTTCGAGTTGTTGATCCCTCAAGAAATGCTTACTTTCGATTATACAACTTTAATTAATTTAATTTTAATTATAAAAACAAACACACGGAAAAATAAACTAAAACTCTACAAAAATAAGAAAACACAAAACCCTTGGAAATTTTGGAGGCAACGTGATTGGGATTTATGGCTTTGCTTAACCGTAGCCTAATTAATTTTTTCACAAGCCAATTAACAAATTACTTATTTTCGATTTTAGACCCAATCTTTCAATCTTAGCCCCCGTTGGCTCCCATTATTTGTTGGTATAATTTTTGGAATAATATTTTTTGGAGAATGTATGGTTGAAAAATAAGGAAATTTTTTTAGTTTATGTGTAATATTATTATTTTATTGGAGAATACGTGGTTAAAAGAGAGAGAGAGAGAGAGAGAGAGAGATCTATTATAAATTAATGGGGGCCAAACTATGAATTAGTTAATTACCTCTCTCGAGCGAAATTAACCATATTTAATTGGTTTGACATACTATATCTCTGTATCGATTAAAACCAAGCAACTGTATTAAATTTTCATGAAAATATCTTAACAGGTCACCTAAGGTTAGGGGTATATCTCTACTCCTACAAGAACCTATAATTTATATTATTTAATTTAAAATGTACAATCTTCTTTCGAACGATATACAAACCACTAAATATAATAATTCATTAGCTACATAAATGAAAATGAATGAAATAAATAGTAGATACAAATAGGGGTGGGCAAAACCCAACCGAACCGTCCAACCCGAACCAACCTGACCGAGTTGGATCGATTTTGGGTAGGTTGGCTGTGTAGGCGGGTCGNTACTTTCGATTATACAACTTTAATTAATTTAATTTTAATTATAAAAACAAACACACGGAAAAATAAACTAAAACTCTACAAAAATAAGAAAACACAAAACCCTTGGAAATTTTGGAGGCAACGTGATTGGGATTTATGGCTTTGCTTAACCGTAGTCTAATTAATTTTTTTACAAGCCAATTAACAAATTACTTATTTTCGATTTTAGACCCAATCTTTCAATCTTAGCCCCCGTTGGCCCCCATTATTTGTTGGTATAATTTTTGGAATAATATTTTTTGGAGAATGTATGGTTGAAAAATAAGGAATTTTTTTTAGTTTATGTGTAATATTATTATTTTATTGAAGAATGCGTGGTTAAAAGAGAGAGAGATCTATTATAAATTAATGGGGGCCAAACTATGAATTAGTTAATTACCTCTCTCGAGCGAAATTAACCATATTTAATTGGTTTGACATACTATATCTCTGTATCGATTAAAACCAAGCAACTGTATTAAATTTTCATGAAAATATCTTAACAGGTCACCTAAGGTTAGGGGTATATCTCTACTCCTACAAGAACCTATAATTTATATTATTTAATTTAAAATGTACAATCTTCTTTCGAACGATATACAAACCACTAAATATAATAATTCATTAGCTACATAAATGAAAATGAATGAAATAAATAGTAGATACAAATAGGGGTGGGCAAAACCCAACCGAACCGTCCAACCCGAACCAACCTGACCGAGTTGGATCGATTTTGGGTAGGTTGGCTGTGTAGGCGGGTCGGGTCGGGTTATAGGTTAACACATAAAAATCGAATAAACCCGCCCAACCCGATCGGCATACTTTAAAAAAAAAAAGAAAAAGAATAAGTTTTCGGATTTTTTTTCCTTTTTTTAATACTCAACCATGTTATGGGCCGTGTATCTTTTTCTGAATTATTACTTTACAAACTTGGTGGATTATGATATAATTCTAATAAAAGTAGAAAGTAATTTTTCTGATGCAAGTGATGCTCTGAAAATAATGAAACTATATAAACAGTCGAAGAGCATAAATAGCAAAGAAACACATGGCCTTAGAACTTGGAGCTTATTTTCAATTTTAAAAGTCAACAATAACGGCTAGTTTTTCAATTTTAATTCGATTTTCATCTCTACCAAACGGGCTACTAATCTTTCATGTATTATATGCCTAAGAAATATTTGAATCTCCTTGTCTCTAGATTGTATTCTCAAAATACCAAGAAAAAGAAAAGAAAATGAAAGGAAAAGAAAAAGAAAAGAAGGAAAAAAAAGGAATAGGTCAAATCCCTCAAAAGTCAAAACAGTGGCTGCCCCGTTTTTTAATTTTTAAACCTTGTTCTGCAATTGCAGCCAAGCCCCCATAGTTTTGGAAAGTAACAAAAAGGTCCCCCATGTTTTAAAAGTGCTCCTTCTCTGCCGAGACAATGATTTCAATTTTTTTAAATTTTTTTACACACAAGTCCTTTATAAATTTGCACATTAGGTCCCTCAACTATGATATTGTACAATTTGGTCTTAAAGATTTGACTTTTCTTTTAATTACCTCCTCCATAAATTGTACCTCAAGGTCCTTCAACTTTTCGATGCCTTTGGTCCCTTTTCATTATCTTTTGCCTTGTTCTCTTTTCATTTAGAGCTTATGATCTACAAAAGTCAAAATTACACAATTGATCAATAATAAACATATTTATGTATCAAATAAGTGTGCAAAAATATACTTATCACCAAGTTTAACTTTCACTACTACTTCTGTTCGAATAATTTTTCTTTGTTACAATGCGCAAACATGTTTGGTATGTATTATAAGAATCTTATTTATCGAAAAAGGAGTTGACTTTTGGGACTTGTCTATGTTAGGGAGTTGTTTATAGTCTATTTAAACTATAAACAAATATAAATAAACGATGAATAAATGGATAAATATTGCAAATCCACAAAATATGCTGATAAAATAATTAGATCAATTATATGAAAAAAATATAAATAGTTGCCAAAACAATGGCTTTATTTCTTCCTCTATTTCCTTTTATCAATAGAGCTCTACCTACCAATCACTCAATTCAAGTGAGACTAATAAACACTGCCACTTATTTTCAAAAAAATATAAATACAAAGGTAATTATATATTTTATATTAACACCACATTTTAATTACAAGAAAAATTTTCAACTTTTCTCTCGTCGCATTTTTATTCTTAATTTTCAATTAATTACACATATTATTATTTTGTCTTAAATTTTCATTCAAATATTCTACTAACGTGCATTGAAAAGATGAGTAAATATTTTGTTTAACTTTTATATTAATTATTTATTTCGATTATTTAAAAATACAAAAGATAAATATTTTTTTTAGTCTTCACAACAAATATTTTGGACGAAAATCGTCTTCGTACACAAGATATAAAAATTAATAGAAGGTTAATGATTAAAAAATGAGAACATAAGTATAAAAATAAGAAAATTTTAGGGATATTCATTATAATTAAAATGTGGCGTGTATATTTACCCTAAATATTAACCTGTTTGAGCCCCCTTTTTTTTTTTTTTTTTTGAAAATGCATTTTAGAATAGGAGATTGATAGAGAATGTGTGGTTGAAAAATAAGGAAAAATTTTGGGTTTAAGTATAATATTATTTTATTAAAAAATGTGTGGACGTAAGAAAGCGAGAAAAAAATGAATTTTAGAAATAATGGGCAAGCATAATTACTGAATTCAATTTATTTTTTTAAAGAAAAACCGCCTCTTGGACAGTTCAAAAAATTCCGCTTTGCGCTCCCATTATCTTTACTTTTCTCATCAAACTTTGATCTCTCCCCCTCCCCCACACTCGCAACTGCAGTTCGAAAATCTGAGATTAATTACTCAAAGATCGAATTTTGATTTTTCTATTTGTCGGGAAATGGAGGAGTTTGATGATGTCGATCAACAAACGAATGCTCTCAGTCTCATCGATCTAGACTGTCAATTTTCAGGTTCTTGAAATTTGGACTCACATACAAGTATCTTATTTTAATTTGGTGTAAGGTGATTATTTTTCGTATATGTGTTGTTCTGCTCAGATACTGTTAGCTTGAATTGTAAATCAGAAAACCAGACAGAGGCCACGACTCTTCAGTTGTCAGAAGCTATGGGTGCACAAAAAGAAGCGTTTCTCACTATGAACGGTGATGGAAATGACCAATTACCTGACCTGTGTGAGTGGACTGAACTGGAAAGCAGCCAAAGAAATGGAAGATGTAACCTACGTAAAAGTTTAGCCTGGGATAGTGCTTTCTTCACTAGTTCAGGTACTCTTTGTAAATTGAAGATTAACATGGCTGTCCATTCGATAGATCGTGTATCCTTCACTGGTAGAAAAATCTTTTTTGCATCTAATATGCAAATCTCTTCAATTTCTTTAGGTGTTCTGGACCCGGAAGAATTGTCCAGTATGCTTAAAGGAGCTGGAAAGGCCGGAAAACATTTATTGCCTGGAATTGAAGAAGATATAAGAAAGTCAACTGAGTCGATCTCCACGCTAGAAAGTGATAGCTTGACCCTTGAAAGTCTTGAGGATGACTTGTTTGCGGACATAAGAGCTTCAATCCAAAGATCTAGCAGAAGAGCATTCACCATGACAAATTCCGGCGGTAATGCTGTGGTGATAGATAACCAAGCAATTTCATGTGAGTGACCACTTCTTTACCTGGTGTAAGACGAAGATGGTACTACGCTTTGCAGAATGTTAGGCGCAATTAGGCTACTGAATTTGTTGATGGTGAACTGAACTTGACAACTGGTTTCATATTGGTGCATCATGGCTCTTATTTCCATTGCAAATTGTTACAATTTACCAGATGATATGTCCAGTTTATAGAGAAGCAATCTTACTCACCAAATTCTGATGTCCACACTAGTGTTGTAACCTTAGCAACATTGTATCATTCTCCATATCTTTACAATCTACTTCCAGAACACGAAAACCTATTCTGGAGTGCCCTCTTTCTTTAGTGAGATGCATATAATAGAATCATATTATGAGGTAGGCCAATTTCCTTAGCAGTTTGAATATCCATTTCAGATTGTGATCACATTTCCGTGACTTGGATACTGAAATTTGCTCCTACTCCTCCTCCTTCTCGGTACTAGATAAATAGAATAGAAAGCAAAAACCCAAAGCATTGGTACCGCCCATTGGAATGCCTCTCTCACAGGATGGATTGAGGAGTCTTTCATAAGCTGACTCCCGTCCCTGAACAAAGCACCAGTAAACCTTTGCTATTTTCCCTGTGACGTATCAGTGCCACTGAAATTATAGTTTCTTAACATGTTTTATGTTATTTTCATTTCACAGCATATCCAGAATCACATTTGTACTGGAGGACACCAGTTTCATAACTTCACGTGCTGATTCAACCACAGTGCTTTTAGTTTTAGATATGGAGATTGAGTGAACCTAATTTTGACAAGTGGAAGTTAAGAAAGTTCCTCCATGCATGTCTCACATTCATATTGAACTCTGCTCAAGTGAATTACTTTTGGCATGATAACGTACATTCGCAATTGCGCATTCGAACTACTTTAATTTTTTTTTTCCCATTTTTGGAAAAAACGAAAAGAAAGGAGAAAGAAGCCATTTTAGATAAATGTTCTTGGTGAACTAAGGTTAAATTATTCAAGTTCATCTATGACTGTATAAGCATCTGGATCTGCAAAAACTTGCACTAGGTTAATATTGACAGTGGAGAGATCCTATTTATATTTTGTTTCTGATGAACTCGGGATTTTGCTGGAGCTTAATTTCTGTAATCTGTACATGGAATCTTTTTTACTTGCTTCGTTTGTTCATTCGTTGGAAACCAGTATATTGTGTCCTCTTTGTATCATTTGCGACTATATTTTCTCGAATTAATACCGTAATAATTTGTAGGCCTGAGGAAGGATGACCTGGCTTCTGAGAATCAGGTATGTTTGAGTAAGTGGTACACACCTGTTGATCATGATTACTTTGCTGATTACTGTAATGCGTGAAGATTGCAATGTTAACTTTCAGCTAAATCCAAAACCTGCTGTAAAGAAACTTATCGGCATGCAAGCAATTAGGATGCCAAAATGTCAAGGTTTCGTTTTATAACCCGACGTTCGATCAGGGAAAGCAGTTGAGCAGGATTCTGGGCATTCTCAAGTGATACAGGCATGATTTATTTGGCTTGTTTCTTTTCTTGTTGCATCTGGTATTTGTTGTCTATTACCAACTTATATGGAGAACACAACTCAAAACGTACATCCATCTTCTGCTTATTTTTAAGCCCCTGTTTTTGGAAAAATATTGTTTTGAATAATGAATGGATAATGTGTGGTTAAAAAGTAGCGAAAGTGTTTATGTGTAAAATATTTAATTGTGTAAATGTGTGGTTGAAAATAAGCATGCAAAAAAAAAGAGTTATGAAAGAATGGGGACAAATCGGGGCTAAATATCAGAATTTCTCCTATGAAACTGGTGTTATAACGATTAATGACTGACACGAGCCCTAATTTTGTTTGATGAAGTCTACTGTTAAGATTGGGCAGTCAAGTTCATCGCTTCCCAAACCACGCAAGGCAATCAATAGGGCCATCCCAACTTCGACGGCAGCAGCAAAGAGCTCTTCTTCGAGTAGTGGTGTCAAAACTGAAAATGAAGGCACAAATCTCAGTCCTGGTAATGGAATTCTGACATATTGATTTGTTCAGTAGATGATCAACTGTTTATTTCCATCTGTAACATTCTTACCTTGAAACTGACAGTTGCCACTGAAGGGGCTCGGGCATCAAAGGTACCTGTCTTAAGTGGTACAAGAAAGGTATTGTCAAAGCCTGCATTGTCTTCCAAGTCCTCTTCTTCGGGTTCTTCAACTACAAGCAACATGCAGTCTACAAGATCCACTTCGAGCAACAGTACTGTGTTATCTGAAACCACTGCTAAATCTTCATTAATGACAGCAAGAAGAAATCCCATCAAAAGCAGCACTCATAATTCAGCTTCTTCTGGTTCCATACCCAAAACCCTGTCAAAAGCTAAACTGAAGAATAATCCTTCATCATCTACCCTGTCAGCTTATCTGGTGTCAACTATGACCTCAAATGTGTCACCCACTAGTTCTATTGGTGAACTGTCTTCTGCATCATCATCATCATCTTCTTCTTCTACGATCAACCAAAGGTCCAACAACTCAAGGAACAGTCTTGATACCAGTTCTTGCCGATCTGTTGATGGTGATATAGTTTCTTTGGATTTGAAGAATCAGAATATTGATCGAATTGCTGATGGACATAAAAGTCGGGAAACAGCTTCACCTGGAATTACAAGAAAATCCTCAACACAAGCTGGTACACTTTCTAGTCGGCCTCCTCTTAAGGTGTCTGGATTACGAATGCCATCCCCAAAGATAGGGTTCTTCGATGGGGTTAGTTTGCTTCTTTCTTTATACTTGCTTTTGATTTCAAGTTTTGGACTAATTGAGTGACAAGTTTTTAGCCGATGAACATTAGTTGAATAATTCTAGGGCTAGTTATGTGTGATATCCTTCACAGAAATCAAGATGTATTTAAATGATTTTCGTGTTGCCATGCTTTGTAGTTGAGGTTCATAAATTATTACTGACTCTGTTCTTATGAGTGAAAGGTAAACCAAACCAAGTTATTCTGTCATGTAGGTGAAGTCGGTTCACACTCCTACTGGAACTATGCAGTCTCAATCTGAAATTCCTACTACGCTACCTGAGAAAGGAGGTGCTATGTGCAGTTCAAACAGGAACTCCAACATAAAACCAAAGCTTAGAAAGCTTCCAACTGCTAGAAAGATATCTGCTTTGGCTCAGAAAACCACTCCTCCTACATCCTGTGAGGAAAAATCATATACTTCGGGAAATTTTTCTACTTCTCCCGTGGATGTAAAATATTGCCATATAGATACAGGTTCCAGGGCAAGCACGGATGAGAACTGTGTTAGGTTCCTGCAGGCTGCTGGACGTCCTGTGATGGATCTATAGATGATAACTCTACTGCTGGGGGCTTCTCAGCTGCAACTGTAGATCTATTGGCTGTGAAGACTGCTGCAGATGGTGTTCCGGCTCCAGATCTGCTCAACCAACTAGGAAGATTATATGTTGTTCAATAGGACAGAGGTTCAGTGTGTAATTGGATTGTAATGCTGTGAATATGGTGTCTGATTTATGTAATGGAAAGTGCAGTTGTAATTGACTGAAATAATGCAGTATGAATTAGCTTGGAAAGACGGATTGTAAACAAGGAATTTATATTGTTTATTCCATTGAAATGAACGACAGAATTGAACAATTCCAAGGCATTCGAAAGGCCTTGATCTCTCCCCACTTTTCTACACAATTCTCTGAATGAATTAACCCTCCCCTTGCTCTCATATTTATTAACAAACTTCTTCACTCGTACAAATTCCCCACGCCCTTGCAAAAAAAAAAAATTGCTAACTAACTGAATTCCCCACACCCTTGTACCTTTTGAAGGGTCCAAAATTTTAGGTCCCACAAGTGTTGATCAGAAAGTAGATGAAAATGTGTTAGATGGCCAAAATCATGCTAAGAAATCCCATCCAATTTACAGAGTGGGCAGAAAAGAAAATGGTCATATTGGAGATCAAGTTGATGGGGTATGCGAATACAAAATGGATGAAAATTCGAGCATCTATGGCCAAATGGATGAAATTATTAGTGAAATATGAGATTGTGCTTCAGAAACTTCTTCTGCAATAATCTCTGAGTCTGTAGGTGGCAGAGCCCTTTGCTGTCAAGAATTCTCTGTAATGACGGATGTCTCGATATTCCTCATGACCAGTCCAGAATTTAAAGAAGTAAAATTTTCCCTTGCCTTCTCCTGAGAAGAAAGTTGACTTATTGTAGTTATCGGCGTGCACCATCTTGAGGTACAAAACTACACAACTAACGGAAGTTTGGCGGGTGGAATTTTGCTCCCTGGACAGAGATAATGCCGTGACTTCTGCTCAAGCATAGATTTGATTATAGAAACTAGTTGCTAAAGGAGAAGTTTTTCATGCGTGTAAAACCATGGTTCCATGCTAATGTCAATAAATCTCTATTATGAGACTCGTATTCAGTGCAACTTCGTCATATATATATATACAGAATTTGCATCACTTACCAAGAATAGAATTTCTTTAGAGCCTGTTTGGCAGACTAAGAAATTGCTTTTGTACATGTTTGAACTTTGAATAATTGTCAAGATACCTTTCTCACAAGTTTTTGAGTAAGTTTGGTCTAAGATACCTTTCTCATGAAGCTATTCAATAGAAAGCAAAAGTATTAAACTTGCCAAACAAGCCCTTAATAACCAAGATACATTAATAGCTTGTTTGGGAGAGATTTTTGGGGGAAGAATTGATTTTGAATAGTGATATGATGGGAAATGTGTGATACTTTTTCTTCTTTTTTAATAACTACAGTACCTTTTATAATAAAATAACTTTTTAGTGTGGTTGAAAATGAGAATTGATTTACTGTAGAAAAATTTAATCCCTCCCAAACAGGGCCTAAAAATCAACCCCGTGCTAAAGTTAGCTGGATAAACAATATAGACTGAATCATAAAATAAATCTTTTTGCACTATCCAGTATCCAATTTGAATCTGAGTAGTAACGAGAATATTTTTTTAGCGTTAAATGCAAAACTAAATCATTAGAAACAACACGTTTAAAAACTAACCCAACTTTCACACACCAAAAAAAAAAAAAAAAAAAAAAAAAAAATAAAAAAAAAAAAAAATAAAAAATAAAACAAAAAAAGAGGCCCAAAATTAAAAATAAAAAAGGGCTCAAGTCCAACAAACTCTTTCCTCCTTCCCTAATCCCTTCAAGCTTCACGGTCGTATGCACTCTGCAACAATGGCATNACTGCAAAATAAGCGAGAAAAATTCTTCAAACTTAAACAAGAAATAGAAAATTTTAACAAAAATAAATCTACGTAATAAAATTTGAAGAGGCTATGTAACTTTTCTAATAAATCAGTGTCTGAAAGTTCGAAAAATTTGGCAGAAATAGCCTACCATCCTGGGACAAAATACCAGCTGGGGTCTTGGAGAAATATCCACGACTAACCCAGGTGAGCTCGACCGAGCAGGGTCATGAAGCCAGCATTGTTTCTTGACCACATTTAGAAAAGGCTATCGTGCCCAAAATGCCATACCCAAGTTACACAAAATTACAATTAATTTGGCCAAATTAATTGATTTGTTTGTTCAATGACATGTAATCTTCAAAATGTGAGCCCTCCCAAAACCGAAAATATTACTGCATTATCAATCAACAAATTGCATGCTAATGTTCTGAGAGAGAGAGAGCCCAGAAAATGATCATCTTAATATCAAATACAGCAGCACAAATTCTGATACAGTAAGTTAAAGAAAATAGGAAATAAAATCAAACAAACTAAATATCTGGTGTCCATTAAGAACTAATTTCACCAGCAAACTAAGACCTTGGCTTCTCTTTTTTCTCCTTGAACAGGGCCAGGAGAGAAACACCAGATACCTTCACCACCTTGAATCTAACACCGGGAATATCTCCGACAGCATGTCCCTTACGTCCAAATCCAGCAATCAAAACTTCATCCTGTAGCAAGAGGTAATAAACACAATGTAAAACAGCAAACAACAATCACAAGCAATATAATTAATGATCACTCACATTTTCTTCGATGTAGTTTAAACAACCATCATTGGGGACAAAAGCAGCAATCTTCTTGCCATTCTTAATGAGTTGAACCCTAGCACATTTACGAATAGCAGAGTTTGGTTGTTTAGCTTCAATGCCTCTGTCAATGAGGAGATATGTTAGTCGTAAAAAGATTGGTTCCATAAATGAAGAAATCCAGAAACACAGTGATGAAAACAAATAAAACAAAGGTTTATTCTAACATTTTCTCAAGGACAATGCCTTTTGCATGCGATGACCCAGCAAAAGGTTTCTTCCATTCATTCCCAAGATGGGATTTCTTATATGCCTTGTCAGCCCACCTTTGTCTTCTGCGGTGGGACTTCAGCTTGCGACCAGCTCCCATACCACGAGTCTTCCTGTATGATAATATCTAGTTTATTAACCCATACAAGAACAAACTTAGGTACAACACGGGTTACTTGAGGAGGCTCAAAACGGACTGAATTACTAGGGATGTAACCACACTGATTGCTAACTAAACTACCTTTAAAAGTGTTTCATGTTCCCTTAGCTAAGGAACTGTTGCAGGATTGGTTTCGTATATTTCCCAAGAGGGGAACGAATAATATCTATAAACATAGCTCTTTGGATGGCTGGTGCCAAAATGCACACACATAATCAATACTACAGAAATCCATTAGTCCATTTCTCTTTGAGGTTCAAAGCATTTAATATCCTTCTCGTTAAGCTCCTCTAAGATTAGACGAGGATATATATTATACATATTTAGGTCATTTGAAGAACTAAAATGTTACCAATTGCACATATCTACATTCTAATTACAGCAAACAACTGTACCATAACAAGTTAACTGAAGTACACAAATCCATGGTTGATTTGTTCTTAGACCCTTAATTAACTGTTTCTGATATTCTTCCATATAATAATATATACAATTAAAGTGCTCAGCATTCTAGATGCCATTGTTGCACCACGATTGAATAAAGCACCAAGAAACATTAAAAATATTATTCATAGCCAACGGCCAATTAAACCAGAATACAATCTAAAACAATTGAAAATCTATACAATAAAATCCATAATTTTTCATATATATATAGTACAAAATTCAGTAGACATACCCCATGATTGCAGGTTGAAGTGAACAAAATTCTAGCCTAGGGTTTGAGGGATTGGAGGAGAGGAAGACGAGCCGCTAAGTTAATGTAAAACCCTAATTCAAGAAATCTTGTAAATGAGCTTTGCCCGTACATTTTATATCTTTGGGGAGTTGGACCTGTTTTATTGGGCTTCTCATTCCTTGGGCCCATCTGGTGACTGTTTGAGTTCCTTTTTAATAGGAGCCGAATGGACAGAGGCTCAATTTGGCACCCACCCCATCATGTTAAATGGGTTAGAAAATTTATTTGGAATTTTAGTTTGGGAAAATTACATAAGTGGAAATTACACCAAACCCTACTTTTGAAAATCAAAATTCTAAAATCAGATATGATGTTTAACTTTTCAAAAATCAGATATTTTATATTTATATATTATATATTAATTTTATAATTTTCATTACTACCCTAATTAATTTCCCCCAAAACCGTATCTTCTTCTGTCTCTCTCT